CGTTAGAACGAATGGATTGGGGGGCGTTAGAACGAATGGATTTGGCGGGCGTTAATCGGTAGGCGGGTGTTTAGAGTTCGGGCGGGCGTTAGAATTGGCGGCGGCGTTAGATCGGGGGGCGGGCGGGTGTAAGGGTGTGTAGGGCGTCGGGGCGGTTATTGACGGGAGGAAGAGTTAGTTTCGGACGTGCGTGCAGTCGTGTTAGTGAGCAAGATGGACTGTATTGGGGCGAGATACGTGGTAGCGGAAGGTCAGGTCGAAGTGCATTGCGGCAGGCATAGGGCGTTTTGAGAAGCGGGCGGTTATGAGGCGGGCGTTTGGGCGGGCGTTTTGGGTCGGGCTGTTTGGGCGGGCGTTTGGGGGGTCGTATATTAGAGTGCGTGCGTTTGGTCGGTGTGCGTTTTTCTGGGCGGGCGTTTGGGCGGGCGTTTTGGGGGGCGTTTTGGGTCGGTAGAGCGTATTAGGGCAGGGCGTTTGGCGTGTGAGCGTTTGTGGCGTGTGCTGTTGGTGGACGGGCGTTTGGGTGGTACAGGGGCGTTTTGTGGTCGGGCGTTTTTGGGTCGCGTTGGGTCGTTGGTGTTTTTGGTGTCGGCGTTTTAGGGTCACGGGAACAGCTTTGGGGCTGGTGCGTTTTGGGCGAGGCCACAGTTATTTAATGGGTTTTCGGGTTTAAGTTTTAACCCGCCAACCCATTCGTTCTAACGCCCGCCAACACATTCGTTCTAACTCCCGCCCGCCCATTCCGCCAAACGCCAGTCAGCCCACCCAAACACGTACAAGCCCACCCTTCAACCTACCTCTTCTAACGCCCGGCGCTCGTTCTGAAGTCCTCCCGGGTACCCGTCCTGAAGCTCACCCGTCCTATGTTCTCGTTTAACGATGTAAAACGGGCTTGGTGACAAAAAGTGCAGAAAGTTTTCCCGAAAATGACATTATTTTATTTCTGTAAAAAGTGACTGAAAATGTATGTATGTTGCATCTAGATCCACAGAAAGAATGTCTGGATAAAGGTGCGTTTTTTCTAAAAAATGTAATTGTAGTTTCAAATTTAAGACAGCTTCATTTTTTTCCAACAGAGCTACTGCCAAGATCTTTATTACTCCAACATATATTTATATAAGCCGATATATCGGTCATCCCTGATTTTTAGTGAAGTTCTGAATTCATTGTTTACAACTATTAAGTTTTAAGTAATGTGCCTTTCTAATTCGAAAATGGGCTGGTCATATTGTGTTACGGAAATATGTGGAATGATGGATCTGTGTCTGATACATAAGTGTTTTGATTATAAAAAAATTCTTAACTAAAAGAGAACCTGTTTTCCTTCATCCATTGAAATGTTTTTAAAGTGAAATTATGTAAGTATAAAGCATTTCGATTCTTAATTTGTTATTACGGGAGCTGTTTCTTTTTCTAATCGAGGTGAAATTACATTTAGAGTTCTGAATTCCGAATCTGCTAGATGAGCTTATTCTGCTATTTTCCCAATCGGCCTTCCTTCAATACTGTGACAATGTTTACTGACTGAAGTACTCTAGTGATCAACAACGGCAGTTAAGAAAAGATGAAGCTTATATAGTGTGTCTTGAAGATGATAAATGATAGAAAAACTTGCTGGGGAGAAATTTAGAAATTTAATTTGTGGATATGGGAAGGGAAAAGAATGTGATATTTATGAAATTGGAACTGGACTCTGAGAACAGATCACCATAAATCTCAACAAGAATTAGTATAACTACTTATTTAGTTGCGGTTGTAAAGACGTATGCGTTCATGTCAATCACTTCAAGTGGCTGCTGTGTCAGAGAACAATAAAATAAAGTGTGGCAGATGAACAAAATTTGCCTGCTTGTTGTCATTTAATTGTTGGTATTATGAATGTTTTGGATTGAGATTGCGAAAAGAATATCTGATTTAATTTTGTGGAAGAAGAAATTAAGACAATCATTTTCACTCTTTGAAATCTATAAAGTTCTCTTTAGGGCTGATGTAATTGTCTCATGAAGCAGAATAGATATCTACTCACAAGAGCAATTGGTGTGAGTTGAAATAATGCAGCATACCTTCCTGGTACATACCAGACATTGAAAGACACAAGATTAACGACGCTACCCTAATCCTATGCTTTTAAAACAATATTTTAGGAAATAGGATACATAGACACATATATTAATCGAGAGCATATTGTTTTTTGAAAAGAAAAATTTAGTTCGTACTTCTTGGACTAATAAGGCGAAATATATTTATGTTGTGTTGGTGAAATGTATTTTAAGTCCAGAATATCATATAAGTTAGGAAAGCTTTCAGAAAATGATGAAAATATAAATGCTACGAGAAATATTCCTTGTTCGTAAAATATTGCATTGTTTTCACTAAAGGATCTCCTCCGGGACGGATTTGAACCAGCGACCTATGGATGTCTGTCTTCTCTCCAAGTACAGTCCACCGCTCTACCAACTGAGCTACCAGAGGACACAGGTTCTACTCGAGGCTACAGAAATTTAGCGTCACTTGAATTTAGTAAACGGGAATACACTTTTGTTAATATGATAGTGCTCTATTATTAGTGCTTTACGGTTTCATTATGTAATATTTCATTTTAAAAGAATTTGCCTTGACTTCTTGAGAGGATAGTAAAGAAAAATGTGCACATTTATACTATCCCTTAATTATATTTATAACAGAGTTATTCGGAAAGCTTAAGGAGGTAAAATAACAAATACGATTAGAAAAGACGTCATTGCGTGCCTATGATCTGACTGGAAAAAAAATTAAAAAATGTAATTGGAAGAAAGAAACACGAAGTAGTTGCGCTTTTTTTAAGGTTGCATTGCAATTGTTGAAAATTTCACCAATGAATAAATTAATCTGTATCCTTAATCGTATAGTTTCATTAGTCTTTTGTTTCGTTTTGAAATTTAGAAAACTACAAATAAATATTTTTGATCGTTCAAGAATTAGCGATGGAAATAATTCTCACAGGGAACTGAAGACGAACCGAAAACGCACACATACATGGTAGGCCTCCGGTGGTGACCATACTATTTCTGCTTATGTGTAAGTATTGAAGACGCTATAGCTCAATTCAAGTTTTTGCCTAATACTCCAGTACTCGCAGGCCTGCTGGAGACTTTCTAGATCACGGGGGATTGATCATAGAGGCTTTCGGTGCTGAGATAAGTGTGCGCGGTGAGACGTTGATCGGAGAAAACTATGGAA